GTAATTTAAATAGTAGTGTATAATTTATTTTCTACTTTTTAGTGCATTAGTACATAAAAGCTTGTTATTAAAACGTTTTTTATAAAAAAAAATTTTACAAGCTTTTATTTAACTCACTTCCTCTGTCGTCAGTCTAGATCGAAACGCAGGAGTGAAAATTGGGTCACTTCTACTTGACCGATACGATTCACATTTGACACATGGGTAAAAACATGAAGACAATGCAATCTGAAATTAAATTTGACTTAATTGGATGCCTAATTATTTTTTTATGAATTAATTAAAATTTGGACCGAATTAGTAGGCATTTCTATCGAACCGCACCACACGCGTCATCACGTTCAATAGCTGCGCCATCACGTTCAATGGCTGCGCCATCACGTTCAGTAGGCGCGCAATGGTTTTTAGTCATGTAACTCTAACTATATATATAATTCTCTTATGGGAGACACTAGAAAACAAGCTGTAAACGCGCTCCCTACCACCCCACCCCTACATGGTCTTAGTGAGCTGTGGTTCACTCTAAATGTTTACAAACAGAGCCGGGTTTGGTGACGACTATTAGGGGCAGATAATTTAGTTTAAAACGATTTTAAACGTAGGGGGGGGGGAGGAAGGGGGTTATGGTCCTTAACGATCTACTTATAGTGTTTTAAAGAAATATTTTCAGTGGCAGCGTTGGTACTGTCGAATTCACAAATTAGGAATTATTGAACAGTAGAAAAAACAACAACTAAATAGCGGCGTATGTTATGCCGCGGGCCGGCTCATTGTAAATAAAACATATAAAGTACTGAAAAAAATCATAAAAAACGTTATAATAACAAGCTTTTATGTAATAATGCACTAAAAAGTAGAAAATAAATTATAGACTACTATTTAAATTACTATAAAGAAAAGCGTGGGTCTCTTCTCAAATATTAGTAAAAGTATCCAATAGATACTAAAGTGAACCACGCTTTTCTTTATAGTAATTTAAATAGTAGTCTATAATTTATTTTCTACTTTTTAGTGCATTATTACATAAAAGCATGTTATTAAAACGTTTGTTATGAATTTTTTTTCTATTTCTACCACATTGATTATAATGTTTATACTCAAAATGAAATAGATTGTTTAAGATTACTTACATTATTTCCTGATCAGTCGGTACAGAATTTTATACTTTTTTTTTATTTTTATGATCCTTTAAAATCACTTGTCTTTTGTGCTTTTTGTGCTATTTCACTGTATGAATTAAATTAGATTTAAGTGTATGAATAACATTAAGGAACTAAAACAATCTTATTTGTTTGCGTCAGGGATTATATTTTTAAAATATCTGATACTATAGTATATTTACTGGTGAGGTTGTTAAATTAAATAGATGCAATTAAATTAATGCAAAGATGAGAGTTACGGTTTTCGTGGCTATATCAGCAAGGAAAAATGCATCATACATACAGCCGTTTCGATTATATAGTGATGTAAGGCGATAGTGCTCTGATATCGGGTTAAGGGAAACAGAAAGGCATTAAACACGATATTGATAATAACTTTACTGCTATATTACGGTGCAGTTTACCGGGACTGCTTGGGGATTCGTTCGGGTTCTCGTTCATGTCGTGATATTGTGTGGGTGTCTATCTACTCCGTTTGATGTCTTTTTAAATGTGTTTTTCGTGAATCGTGTGAATGGGTGGTTTGTTTAGTGGGGTGAGCTTTGGGTTATGCTTTGTGATGTGGTGGGCTGTGTTATGTTGGTAAGGAGGAGTTGAGGTGGTGGGATGGATATTGTTGGGTTTGGTTTGGGGATCATGGTGTCGTGCGATTTGGTGTTCAAATTGATTTTTAAAAATTCCTCTTAATGCTTTTTAATACCTAATTTTAAGAAAAGTAATTATTTATTTCACGGGAATATCAAAAGTACAGTTGTTTTATGTTTAGTACGATTCTTATATATCTTTTAAAAAATATATATATATTGCGGAGTTTCACACCGTAGAGAAGAATGGGTATAGAGCTAGTTATGCATTATACAATTCATTCGTTATTAATAAAATCTTAGCAACTTAGACTTCAAATAAATGTTTACACCATTTTTCTCACCAGCTGCAGTAAACACGACGAACTACAGTCAGCCATTGGACAACTGCCGCGGTAGTTACATCGACCTGCTACTGGTGACCTACCCACTGGGAAACTCCACACTGCAAATACAGAGGTTAAAGAATATCGTCGGGCACTTTCTTCCAGAAGGGAATAACGAGGCTTTGAGACTTCGAGTTCATTTGCTGGACGTAGTGAACAATACTCACTCACAACATCTGATTGACTTTAACGACTATAACACTACGACAGGGTTGATTAAAGGACTGGGTCAGTTGAATGATACAGGAACAGATAAACACTTTTATTACTATACAGGTTTGAAGATTAATGCTGAGGAAATATTTAATACATCGAGTCGCATCGAAGCTAAGCGGCTGGCAATTATGCTAATTCAACCAGAGCAGCAGAAACTTAAATCATCTCACGGGCATATTTCTGTTCCACAATTTTTTCGTAAAAAAGATTATACATTTTATTTCTATTACATCATAGACAAATCAGTATCTCAGCATCTCAATACTCTGTCTGACGGAAATGTCTTAACAGTTTCAGGAGAAGACATTGAATTGTTTAATGAAACTGTATGTGGGCAATGTAAACATGGCTGGATTCCACTAATAAAAACTGGGACGAGATCTCCACTGTCGTGTTTCTATATTGGCAACACTAGCGACACGACAAGTCATAGTAAGGCTGCATCTGCTTGCAAGAAAATGAAAGCTGATTTAGTAACTTTGGAAACAAAAGAAGAATTGCTATTTTTAGAGGAACAGCTTTCAGCTAAAGACAGTTTTAATCCGAATGGATCTGCTGTTTATTACGTTCATGTTGGTTTGATTCAAAATAAAGATTCAAGTTTAGGTATGGGCTTTTGGGAAAATGGACGACCTATGACATTTCCGTTTCCATGGGAATTCACTAAGGGTGAAAGTAGATGTAGTACTGGTTACTTTCAGTGGAAAATTAAAAGATGGTCACATTTCGGGTGCAACAAAGGCAACGCAAGTGTTATGGTGGATAGACCAGTTGAGCGGACAGAACAAAAGGAAAATGTATTGATTTGTGAGTATGAAGTGTTCCGCTCCTTGCCTTCTACTACACCACACGCTATACAGTATCCAAAGGATGAAAGCTTTTTCAAAGTATTGTGTCATCCAATGTTTATTTTAGGTAACGATAATTATCTAAGTTTAGTGATATTCACTAACAGAGGCGAAAAGATAAGGATTACTACTAATTACGAATGTCATTTGAACAACTCTGAACACATAAACGTAGTATGTGAAAAAGAAAACGATTGCGAGATCAAAAACAAATGCGAAGATATTATCACTAGATCTGGTGAACTATCTCAATTGCTTCAATGTCAATTGAAGCACACAAGCACATCAAAATACTCTGAGGAATTACAAAGATCTGAGAACACAGAATTAAGCGATGGTGGGGTCGAAGATTATAGTGATAATGTCGAACAAACTTGTGCGGAAGATTGTTTTGAAACAATGTGCAGCAACTTCACGTGCTTACCAAGTCAGTGGTTCTCAAAATTAAATCCGAGACCTGGTCTAACATATTCGCATACAGCCCATGTAGCCACAGAGAACAAATGTTTTGAGAATTGCGTTGAACTGTTAAAATATGAGATCGTGTTCTGTGATGAAACGAACCAGAGAGTGAAAAATTGCAGCGACTTTAAGGGTGGTAGAAAATTAGCACCACGTTGCGTTTACCTAAAAAGTAGTGATAAGAAAGAAACAGGCTGTTCTGACTTGTCCCATCTAAATAATTGCCAGAACTTCAGTTGCCCTGAGGGTTTATACAAATGCCCTTTTTCTTACTGCATTCCATTGTATATGATAAATAATGATGTTCAAGATTGCCCTTATGGAGAAGATGAAAGTATAACCATACAAGGTAAAAATCTGTTCAGATGTGTTAAGAGTTATGGCGGAAACGACAAAACAGTTTACATCCTACCTGTTCACGTATGTGACAACAAGACACATTGTCTTAACCTTGACGATGAATACGACTGTCACATGACTTGTCCAAGGGGGTTTCAGTGTGGCTGGGATTCCGCAAGCCCGGCAATACCCACTGATATGATTCACTTAGAGAGTTTAGGAGACTTTAACAGAATAACAGAAATTTTGAACTTGTCTGGCATTGATTTGTCGAAAATACGCGTCCGTTCTAGTGGAAAGTTAGATCGTTTGCGTACACTTCACGCGTCAAACTGTAATTTAGATGAGATCAATAACCTTCTCTTTCAACAATTGTACGAATATACAGTTGAATATATCGATTTCAGTCACAACAACTTAAAAGAAATTGTTTATAATGAAAGATTAGATACTTTTACATATTTAAAATTTTTAAATTTGTCTTATAACAGGGCACTGCATTCACTAGAACTTGATCTCGAATACTTAAAAACGCTAGATTTATCTTTTACTAATATTTCATCATTTAACTTTACAATGAAGGATTTAGAAAATTTAAATCTTAGTCACACCAGGGTTCATGTTTTTTATTTTCCTACCAACATTGAATCCATGACGCTTGAATATCTAGATGTAAGATCTACTGCCTTAAAAGTAAACCAACAGACAGCAAATGCTCTGGCTAGACTAAAGATCAGTTCAGATTTTCACTGTGACCATTATCAGATGTGTTGTCCTAGCATCCGTGGTTCAGGGATCCCATTTTGTAGAGCCCCCGTAGATTACATGTCAACGTGTGAAAACTTAGTTGACGACCAGGTAAAGCGGATACTGCTGTGTGTTGTCGCAGTGGTTTCAGTTGTCGGAAATTTAACGGTTCTGGTGTTTCGTTTCGTGTTTGAAAGAGCTGTCATAACCAAAAGTTATCGACTGTTTGTTACAAACCTCGGCCTATCCGACCTTATAATGGGTGCGTATCTGTTAATCATAGCTGGCATTGACCTCTATTACCGTGACAATTACGTCATGTTCGAGTCAGAATGGCGTCACAGCACACTTTGCTCGGTTGCTGGTTTCCTAGCAACATGGTCGAGTGAAACGTCAGCAATGTTTGTGCTCCTCATCACAATAGAAAGGTATTTGGCCGTAAGGTTCCCATTTGGGACATATAGGATACCACGTGATCTGAAATATTTCTTACTTATTTTATCCTGGACAGTAGGCTTTGTGCTGTCTATATTGCCTCTTGTCTATCAAAACTGGGGCATCTACTCTTCTAATGGTATGTGTCTTGGTTTACCGATGAAAAACCACTCAGAAAACGGACTAAGGTACTCTTTCGGTGCTTTTTTAGTTCTTCCTGGTATTTTGTTAGTTCTTATGACCATTGGGCAGCTTGCCATATTTCGTAACATTTCTGGAGATAAAATGAACGACGTTATTAACACCCAAAACGCCACTAAACGAAAACGTGAGATCACGGTTGCCAAAAATTTATCTTTGGTCGTCATGTCAAATTTACTTTGCTGGTTTCCTCTGTTCGTCTTTGGATTAATGGCCACCAACGGTCACGATCTGAGCCATGAACTTTATAGCTGGCTGGTAGTATTTGTGCTGCCACTTAACTCGGCCATTAATCCTGTTCTCTACACACTCCCTGTTGTCTACAAGCGCTGGGAAGATTTTAAGAATGGACATGCAGTAAAAAGTACACGTTCTTCTACACCATCAGCGTGATTGATTACATCAGGCTATGACGTTGATGGGTGAAAAATTTAAGTCCACATCGGACAGTTTTATTTATTATAATTTTTTTACTATAATATCCTGGAATCACAGCTACTTCTCTTGTGAGATTTCTGTGGCCGAGTCTATAGGGCTGGTAAGTAGGTCACCAACTAGTTCTATGGCTCATGCAGGTTTTATTGAGCCGTAGAACTGGTTGGTGACCTACTTACCAGTTCTATAGTTGAATCTCGCATCTACTGGTCCTTTCTTATGCTTTGCAGTGGGTTTCTTCACTTTGTTTGACCGTCGGCATGAATTTAAAAAAACTATTTATCAAACCCCAGAAAAAAGTTTTCTTATAATGTATTAAAACGATGACTCATTAATTTTGCGTCTCTCTTGCTCTTCTTCTTCATGGTTCTTGATATTTGTAATGCTAAAGTGAACTTGACAAGACTGACTGACAATGTAAGTTACCTGTCTGGGGCGTGAAAGAACAAAATAGAGAAGGAATCATACAATACCTACGCCGTAGACGAATTGCTTGGTCTCCCCAGATTTGCAGGCTCCCTATACAATTTATCTTTAATTTTGGTGTTTTAAGGCCAGAGATTAGACAGCGTTTGTTCGTATGTCCTTCAGTCTTGTATGACATGTTATGTGTTGTCTAGGTCCAATCCACAATGTCAAGGTTGATATGACCAACTTTTTGTTTTCAAAATAAATGTTCTTTCATCCCGGTGTAGTCTGTTTTAAGTTGGACAATTATGCGTTTTTTACCGGCGTAGTTGTGTGTAATAGAAATCGTCTTGGTTTGGGGTGTCAACACGCATACAAACTTATTTAATATTTTTTAAAAATTTATTTTGTGTTTAGTGACATTCCTGGCAGTTTCGGCTTTCCCTTACTTGAAGCAAGCTAGTCCGTGATCTCATTTTCTTGTATTTGTTTGTTTTTCACAATCCACAACAGCAATTTCTTGCTGCAGATATTGTTTAACCAGTCAAGGGCTATTATGAGCAATTAAATGTAGGAGGTTTTAATGTTTTTCAGAGACTCCAGGATAGATCTGGCATCTGTGAGGAAGTCTACCTGTCTATTTGGGTATCAGGGCGACCTTACAGCAGGTTAACTGAACGCTCTATAACCTGTTTTTATGCTTTTCTCATTTGGTCATTCAATATGAATTCCAACCCCGACATTTTTGGTGTCATCATCGTTTGAGCCATTTATGTAGATAAGTAAGAGAGTGGTGAGCAAGACGCTACTTTTTCAGACTGTTTTTTAATGTTACACTATGGCTAAATGTACCTTCCATACACTCTTAGCTAATGTTAGGTACCCTTTCATCCAGCTTTGATTGCTATATGATAGGTGATGTTTCCTTAGCTTTAGTAGCTAAACTAACTTCCAGACCTTGTTAATTATTTTACTTTGTAGCAAAATTGATACAATATGAATTGTAGGGTTAAAAGTCTAGCCACAATATAGAAGAAGTTTTTGTTTTTTGAAAGTCATAACATATTACTTGAGATATGCATGTGCTTTGATCTTAAGTATATTTGCAGTTCCTGAGATGCTTATTCCTCTACTTGTAGATTTTTTATGAGAATCCAGGCCAGTCCGCGTTTTATCACACTTTTCCATTACACGCATTTCTAGTGAAGTTTATCAGTCGATAACTGTCAACTTTGGTCTTGAGTTTAACAAACTTTAGAACAGGGATATCTTTTATTTAAGTGCTACTATTGAACAGTCGAGAATGAGAGAGGTATAAAACTTTTTGTAATTTTAATTTCAATTTATTTTATAACTAATGGCTCTTTGTTGGCTGATATTTATTTGATAAGTTTTCTTTTTGGAAATTTTTTTCTAAATTCTGCATTTTGTGTACAATCACTAATGTATTAATACATTTGTGTTGGTTTTTGTCTACCAAAGGTCAACGATTCCTTACTCTGGTGTCTCAGTGAGTGACGTTATTAAGCTGGCAGTATCAAAAAATATTCACACAAAAAATATATTAGACATACACATGCCAAACTTTTATAGTGGTATTTTTTTTTAATTAATTTGTTAATATTATATTATATTTTACATTTTTTGTAAACAATTTTTCAAAAACCATAAGTAAAGTACTTAAAATTTGGTATAAACGTTCCTTACGTTAAAAATTACAGTTAGAATTACAATCGTAGCTTTCTCATGCGAGATAAAAGTTACATATGTGTAAAACAACTAAGTTGTTTGTGTGTGTGTGTGTGTGTGCGACTACTCTGCTGGCTATACATAGGGTGAGAGCACACACCATGTGATCTGTACATTTTTTCAACTAGCCCTTGTTTCCCTTGAGTACACAAGTTACAAATATTTTCAAATTTAAAAAGAAAAAAATATTTACAAAAATAAGAAAAAAATATTTACAAAATTTAAAAAAAAAAAAAAAAGATTTTTTCTACCCACCCCAATAGTTTTGATTCGTTTATATTCATTTTTCTTTGGTATTTACTATGTTTATTGTACAGAATGGGATGAAATCCATGCAAACTAGCTTTGTTTTTGACTATTCTTCCATACGTTATACTCTTCCACCACTTTTGTTGGCAAAAATGTTCCAAACCAGCCTCTTTTCAATTTTTGAACCAACAAGCTTTAAATTTTAAAAAAAGTAAAAAAAAAAATTAAGAAAAAAAAAGAATTAAAAAAAAAGATAAAAGTTATGGAAAATTTCGAAAGTCTCTCCAGGCTGGCCTAACTTCGAAACATTCGAAAAAAGTTCAAAATTTGTCACAATGGATATCTTCTACCAACAGTAGGCTACCATGTTATACATCTCGTGAGTATTTTCAGCAAGAAGGGCCCTAATGTTGGAAAACCGCAGCCCCATATTTCTTATTAAAATTTTTGGATAAAATTGTTTATAAAAAATGTTTGCATCGTACGTTAACTTTCTTTTATGTGATGTTTTATAGCTCCTTGATAATAACTATTATGGTAAAAAATGTTTGTGTGTATGTATAATAGTTGGTTTTTTTGCAAATTTTTTAGTCAATTTTTCATTGTCTGGGTTATATTGCCCCCTTAAGCTACTTACAATAACATCATGAACGAGTTTAATATTATATCTTAAGTACAAAAACTATTTCATCAATGAGTCTTTTTATACTTTATACTCATAATAACTCCTCAGACGTTTTAATGTATTTTAAATATTGTCCTCAAATACAAATTTATTTTTAGATCTATCGTATTTAGAAATACAGGTGTACCAACAAAGGTCTTATTTATTTGTGAACAATTATATTTAAAAACGTTTTTTTACAATGAACTTCTTTTTACGATCTAAATTTCATTGTTAAACATTTTTTTTCAAAAAAATTGTGCATTTCGAAACTTCCCAGTTTAAAAAACTAAAGAAGCATCAGCATAGAGTGTTAGTTGTCTCTGAAGAATTTACTTCAAACGGTGTGTTTAATTTATTTAATTTTTTAATGTTAAATATTAATTTAAGCCAGCCTGGTGATGTTGTGAACATTTTTTCATATAAGAAATTATTGTTTCAATAATTCAATATAAACATTGTGAATGTTTGATGAGAATTTGTATTGTTATATTAAATATATAAATACACACACGCACACTAGTTTCTTAACAACTGTGAATTTCCTCCTTCCCCCTTCCCCCTTCCCCACGCCCCCTACGTAGCCGCCAATGTATTTCGTAAGCTCATGATGTCGGCTGATTTTCACACTTTATACACCTGATAAAAAAAAGTCTTTTCTTTTGACTTTCTCTATTTTTATATTTTTTTTACAAAATTGTTCATTTATAAATACAAATTTGATTTTAATAAACAAGTAAATAAAAAAAAACTGCTCGATCTTCTGGTCTCTGGAACAGATAATGGCATTTCAATGGGAGATATAGTTTTGATAGCTTTGATATAGAGCAGCTGGTAATAAATAGCAATGATAAGGAACGAGCTAAATTCCATTCTCGAAGTACTTATGGTTTTGAAAACCAGAAATATAGGCATGTATATTACATTTTGGTCTAACGCAATTTAGTTTTGGTAAAAAATCTTGCACTTTCCATTTTGTATGTATTTTATATTATATATGTTTTAATTAATGTGTGTATTATTACTTTGTCTTAAACATATGTCATTCTACTCCATAAATATACTTTGACAACGTCCATGTCCAAACATTCAATTAAATAAACCGGTAGTGATCTCCCCTAAACTTTCTTGAATATTCTTATATAAAACAACAGGGGATGGTAACTGGGGATATAGTTATGATTTTTAATCCATTTTAAATACTTAAACTTTTAAAAATAGAATAGAATCTCATAAAAAAAAACATTGCGCACCAAGCAAACGCCGAATAAAAACGCGTATAATAGTGCGCAATATTATTAGTACTTTAAAAATTTACATTAGTTTTTTGAGAAATCGGAAGTAGCGTAAATTACTACTTCCAGTCAACGGAAATTACTCAAAATTTAACAGAAGGTAGAGAATTAGATCTTTTACTTACATGTGAAATTTCATTTATCTATCTGAAATAGTACTCAAGTTATAGGCTTTTGAAAAATTCAAAGTAGGAAAAGTACCACTTCCGGTTATCGAAAATCGCTCAAAAGTTGATACGGATCTACGATTTTGATAAAATACTTATATATGAAATTTCATCAACCTAGCTGTAACGGTACTCAAGTTATCGTGTTTACACACAGACACACACACGGACAGACACACACACACACAGACATACGGACAAGATTGCAAAATTATGTTTTTCCGTATCAGTGAGGTGTAAAACGTCGAGATTTGTAAAAATCTCGATTTTTTTTTTTTGCACGATTACAATACTTTCTCTATACTACGTATATACGAGAAAGTAAAAAGAATTTATTTCATGAAAACTTGATTCTGTAGAAAGCGAATTATATTGTCAGAGTTTCCACGGAAATGATTTAGCCTATAATACATTGCATACATTTTC